AGATATTAAAAGTTAAATATGAGTTTTCTCGATCGGTTGAATTACAAACTGATGGTTATAAATAAAGGGCCTTCAACTTGACACTTAAGCGTAGAAAACTCGAACATGGGCGACCACATTCATCATTTAGCCATAAAAACATTGCAGTCTGAGACCAACCTGCTTCCTTATGGCTATCGGTGATCCATTGTACTCTCAGATCGTAAATTGAAGCGAATCAAGGCATATTACAATGGAAATATGTGACTGCGCATTGAGAATTATGAGATTATATATTTATCTGCTCATCACAGCTAAAAGCTGAAACGTGACTGAATGTCGAAATAAGACATTTTTTTTGTAATAATATTTAATAAACTAAAATTATTTTCAGGACCTAAGAGCTTAAAAACCTAAAAATTATTAAAATAAAACAGTTAAAGAAAAGAAAGCTGTTACTTATTCTGAACATATATATATATACACATAATTTAACTATTTATTTCACACACTAAAATAAGTAACTACTTAAAGTAGTATAAAGTTTGATCTTTTATTTTGTTATTATTTATTATTTTATTATAATTATTAGTATTTTATTCATAGACCCGAACCATGATGGTAAGCTTTTAAGCAAAGTCGTCAACCTCTGCAACTTATCCGCTTATCCACAAACTTATTCAGCACTTTTTTGGGCTCAGACATTGGATATCCGCGAATTAACGCCCACATTAGCAAATACACACTCCACATATAGCGAACACAACCACCGCTTGCAGCGAAGACATGCCCCCCAATTAAAGTGGATTTTTGTTGGCCAACAACTGGCGCTTGAGCGAGTATCGAATGAAAAATCCAATTTTCGGCCATCTCCAACACGTTTTCGCTGCCCTTTGTGTTGGCGCCTTTTCCCATTTTAAAAATAAAATTAAATTCAAATTGGAAAGTGACTGGTGCCGTAACTATAGGCTTGACCTATCTTGGGGCACTGTGTTAAAACGAAAGCTAATTTAAATTATATTAAATTAAATTGAAATGCGTTTTAATGGGACAACCGTTGAAAGGTTCAATAATATTAAAATTTAGGAATGGATCACATATCTTCGTGCGTTAACCTCAAATAAACTTATTTTTTTTTGTTTTTCAGCACAATTGTAAAAATTAAGTTGCTTTAGGAAATAACTTTTAGAGAAGTATGTGCACAAGAACATACATTCTCAAAGAGCAATGACAAATGTATTTGGCAATAAAAAAGAAAACGCTTTCTACGAAATGAAAATTTTTTATTAAAAAAAAACTTCTTATATTTATTATGTTTGGAACGACTTGCTGACCTAGAACAAGAACATGCTGACATGGCTATATCAACACGACTGTTAATGCTGATCTAACTTATAAGCTCTAAGCCATGATCCCTGATCTGAATCATTACCTAGCTTATTCTTTGATTAACGGATGCAAAATGCATCTCTCAGTTTTGGACTCAATATCTGTACCTCTGGGCTGTTCCGAACCGGTTCCGTATCGCAGTCGCAACAGTCGAACGCGACGCCCTCGATGAGGGACTGCGACGCGGAGCTTCGAGTCCGCCTCAGGTGTCAATGTACGTGTTGGGCAATTCTAATTAATTAATAAATTAAGAATGACAAATGATTTTCAAATGCCTTAATTAATCATTTTTAACGCACCAGCGACAGCTTTGAACGTGCGTTGGACAGGTGACGCCAACCAAAATGGTCAAGGAAGGTGCCAACGAAAATGTTTCTCCGGCTCGACTTACGTTTTCTTCTGAATGGGGTGCAGACGATTAAAAAATGTATTTAGTGGCTAAATAGAAAAGCGGACAGAATATTAAATAATTCACTTTCAATACTGGAAAGTAAAATTTGGTATTTCTTAATATGTATTATATAATATGCAGAAAGAGCATACACAAAATTTTTTCCGTTTAAACTAACTTAAGTTGAATCATTATTGAACAAACTTTTGCATAGCCTTTTTGTTTAAAATTAATTGAAATTAGAACAGTAAACAAACAAAAATCGATTTTAAACATTTATTAAATTAAAAGTTGCTTAAAGCTATGTATTCAAATCTTAAAAAATTAAAAGCCATTTAAATAATAAGAAATAGAACAATTTAGCAAGTTTTAAATGGCATAGAGTCAGGGCTCACTTACTTTTCAAAGCTCTTGATTAAAATCTCCAATTCGAGCGCAAATTACTTTAATAATGTCACTTAAGGCATAATTTCTACAAATTAATGAGCTGGTGTATTAAACCTTTTAATGTCCAATGTAGTTCCAACAGATTGACACTGCAACATTTTTGGCTTGATCTCCATCGCTCGCTCGGCCACAGTCACAATGGCAATACCAATCAGTTTGGTAACCGTTTAATTGGCCGACAATCGAGCTGTTTTGGGGCCCGGAAAAATGTCAAGCGTGGAATGCCGGGCAAATGCGGCGGCTAATCAGAGACCGATGGCCACAAAGAGCAAAGTGAGCTGTGCGGAGTGGAGGCCAGGGCCCAAAGTCCAAGCCCCATGATCGATTGCAGTCAGAGCGAGGTGACAGTCACCGTAGTGTCACAGTTGACACACAATGACACACGGTCCACAATCGACAATCGACTGGGCGAGGCAGCTGCGATATTCCGCATCGATTTCCATTTGAAGTGGTAGCAATTACAAAGCGACCCCCGAACTATTTGACACTGTTTCGGCTGGTGAATGTTGATTAATTGGATCGGATTGGCCAAGATATGTTACTTGTTACTTGGGGCCTTCTCCTCCAGAGATTAGCGCATCTCGAAGAGATAGCATCGTCTGGGGGTATATACGAGTATATACATGTAAACACAAATATCAGTCGGACTGATAGTCGTCGGCATGGCGCATTTGATCCACGATGACTCGGTTTTATTAGGGAAATATGCTGACTCTTGCTCTTCGGATTCGTATCGATCGCCAAACACTTTTTGGAGTAATTTCAATTTCATGATTCGTTGCGCTAATCTCGTCTTTCTCATGATCGCGGAGAACTCGCAGCTGAGTCAGTGCATCTCCAGCTCCAGCTTCAGCTCCATCTCCAGCTCCAACTCCCTATCACTGTCCAGATCCATTTCCAGCTACTTCGATTTGTGCCGCATCATGCAAATGGATCCGCGCCTCTGATTGATACATAAACACGCGCAAAACTCCTTCACCGATCGGATGTACGAGTATTCGGGTCCATTGGCGGCATCTCTAATAGAAATGTCGGTATCCACAAATCAGAAGACTTTCGTTTTTTCCCCGACACTATTTTCTTGTGGGTCGGGGTTCGCTTCTTCCGTCGGCTGCCTTTTGACTGTCTAAGCCCTTCCGCTGCCTCTATCAATAAGCCAGTCGAGATAAGCTTTGGGCCAAAGAGTCGGAGTCGGACGACCCTGCTTCCTTGGCATGCCAGCTATTTTGCATAAATGACAGACCCACTCATACCTATAAGCACGGCCGTGCTGGCACAGACACACACTCAGACCTTCAACAAACAATCAAATGCTGTCTAGTGCCAAGAATGGGCGTTCCAAAGGGAGTTTCCCGTCTAAGACTGCTTTGCACAGTGCATCACATTCATATCCTGTACAAATTCATTTAATTGAATTTAAATTGTGGGCAAACTTGATAAATCTTAATTTACCTTATGTGATCATCATAGTATAAATTAATAAACTACTATTTCTTATCAGGAGGCAAAGAAATCAAATCTTTCTGTATCTTTATTTTTCAAATACAACGTGTTGGATAATTTTTCATTTCATATTTAAAATATACCCTTATTTATAAAATTTACCTACGACAAGTTGCTTGTATAGCAATGGGAATAAAGAATGAATTAAGCAGAACATTTATTTATAATCAGGCTTAAATGTGATCTTCATTTTGGAAAATGTTTCTTTTTTATAAATAGAACAACAAATAAATTAACTTAAAAGTCAAAGTTTTGAAATCAAAAACTAGCCAATCCATTGAAATCAAACAACATTTTTTTAGCCAAAGCTAAAACTGTCAAAACCTTTATTTTCATACAACAAACTAATTTATTAAAATAATATTTATGTTAAGATTACATTTTACTTCTTTTTTTTTAATCAAAGATTCTGTCTTAAAAAAATGAATTCCACTGTGCCATTTCTAGGTCCGCCCAGTCAGGCTGAGAATGGGCGTTGGTGGGGGTGGTGGGCTTTGTGGGCGTGGGTTGGGTCAGGGGGCGGTGCTCGACTTGTGGTTGCTGTTGTTGCCGCCGTTGTTGTTCTGGCTGCGTATTCGGCGCTTCCTTCTTCTGCATACATGAATACGTAATTGAATTTTGCGGCGTGTTGTCAATTTTGTTTTTCCCGCCAGCATTTGAACTGTTTTTTCCCCCTCCCAATTTCCACCCGCCTCCCCGCTGCCATTTCAGTATTTTTTCCTGACTTTGTTGCACACTTGCCAGCGCATCCACTTAATTTGAAGACTTTTCCTTTCCGCTGGAGGAAGTCTTTGCATCGACTTGTTGCACCAAGGCAAACGCAAACTCAAACTGAATAAATTGAAGCTAATTTGCTGCTTAATAACTAAGTAAAGTTGCAATGTTTTTTTCATTCAAAGTCACTGAGTTTTCTCATGTGAATATTATCATACACATTACTTAAAGTTTTAAAAAGTTATATTTTTCAAAAAATAAAACAATTTGTTCTTATAAGTTCATGAAACAATGAAACATAAAATTATTTATTTAAACTTACTTAAATTTCATATGAATGGAATGTAGTTTTGGTCTTTAGCCTTTTTTATTTTATTATACATTTATTTATTTATATTATAAAACAATTTATTAAATAGGTAAATGAATTCCTATATCATTAGCTTCTACCCCGTTAATGTTTTGTTCCTACAGTTTACCAAATCAATAATTAACTCAGTTGTTTTTGCAAAATTACTGTGAAATAGTTAAAAAACAAGTTTTTTGACTTTAAGAAATGTAGTTACTGGCACCGTGAAGGATTTTTGATTACTAGTCGCATTTTGCCCGTCACTTCACTTAATTGCAATTGGCAATGGGAGTGTTTGTGGATTTCAAACAGAGCTCCCAGCCAAGAACTCTAATGCAGTCGGCATAATAATTATCTGCAGCATCAGCCGAGAAGCAGCCAGAAGTCTGTGACATGAAATTGAAATTAAATATGAGTACTTCATATATATGTGTTCTTTTTTTCCTATGCCGCAGACCCATAACGACGTGCCCGGTATGTTTAATTATTTACGATGATATTCAAAAATGGAATGAGTGAGAAAAGATGAGTAGGAATACCGATTTTTATATGCGCTGCTGCTGCTGCTGCTGCTGCGATGACCGTTTAATAAAATCCGAAATTAGCGGCGCATAAATGTGAGAGATTGGATCCCGATCTTGATTTCTGGTTCTCCATCTGAGTCAGACATTCCGACGTCTACGCCGAGTTATCGCCAGCACTTATCTACGAAAATGTTAGAGATGTAGAGATGTGGATACTGAGGATTTCCAAACACGCGATGGATGGATAGTTGAGAAGACTCCATTTAATTGCGGGACCCGAGAGGCAGCACTTTGGGTGATTGCATCGATGCACTGACAGTTGATTATGCGTGCAATTAGAGCGCATCATCATTCACCATTTTTTAACACTTTTCGACCCCTTCTCGCACTTACACTTACTACTGGCCTAATGTCCGTTCATCAATCAGATTGGCGGCTTCGTAGAACTATTTTTTACCACGGCCACATAACCATATATCTCGGCTTCAACTAAAATCGTGGCCGAGCAATCGCTATATAGGTGCAGTCATTATTTCCCCATTTACCTTGCTCATTTATCAGCATTTTCATTCCCTTTGCAGTTTGCGCCCACAACTTCCCGACAGAGAAAAAACGAGGAAAATTTCGAATTTCGGGTTGTTACTTTCTGGTTTTGAAAAATTTACCGCATTTCTCGTTTGCTTTGTAATTTAGACATTAATATGAATGTCTCACTCATTTGGCTTTGCTTTTTTTCTTCGGTGATCATCTGATGCTGTTTTAATGAAAGCAATTATTGCTGGAAAAGACGGGGAATGGGTTCGAAATATTATATTTATTATATCAACAGAAGGAGAAGCTAAATAAGATCATTACTTTGCCCAAATCCCTGGAAAATCCCCACAAATCAGCGCACAGCTGTTCGAAATAAACGGAGTTCTGCCAAATTGAATCCGACACTAAAATCAAGTGATATATCGATGAGCGGATTTGAGGTCATTTAGTGGCATTAGTGGCATAGCCTGGGAGTATCAGCAGTCGGCCTGATCCGCTCAAATTACTACTGCTTTTTACCACTGGGCACCCCCTTGTTTCGATGGGCCGTAAAAAATGACAAGTGTAAGGTGAAAAGGGGTGCATAAATTTAGCCAAAATGTATCGCAATTGTTTCTGGCCTTTCTGGGTGTGTTTAGCAGCAACCCTCGAAATTCGAAACTCGCAACTCGCAACTCGCAACTTTCCTACTGAGGGTGGAATACGGAAGACTGGCTTCGTGTGGGTGCTTCACTGCCGCGTAGCATGTGTTTATGGGTTTGACTTTTCATTTGATTTAATTTGCCATGGCCATGCCCTCGAGGGGAGGCACTGTGGCCCCAGATTAACTGTTAGCTTTTGGCACGTTCGGCAGAAACAATAAAATCAAATAAAAATCCTCAACGCCCACTTAGTTATGGCTGTTGTCACTTCATTAGGAATGAACTGTGAATATTTAATATATGGTTGCAGGGAACAGCCGATTGGGGGAAACAATGAAAATTCTCCAATAATATTTTCACAGATTACGCTGGGTGATGGTGCCTTAGTGTTAAATGAATAATAAAGGGTGAATTAATCCGAGTCATAATATTTATTCTTAATTTTGGTGTAACACAAATTAAAACTAAAATATATGAAAAGACTTGTAGCAATTGTTAAAAATTGCTTTAAAATGAGCTTAGAAATATCCTTCAAAATATGCATAGCCACAATTAACATCTACCAAGAAAGGTACATATAAAAATTAAATAATTAAATAATTAATTACAAATTTAACAACTGTTATCCGATTTCTACAACAATTTGTTTTATTAAATAGTCTTTTGTATGAATATATATGATAAGGTTTTAATAGATTGTTTTTTATTCAACAAAAAATAGCTTAGAGTAACTGCGAACTTCAATAAGCTTGAAATTAAATGCTATTGCACTGTTAAGGAAGGATAATAAAAAAATATGAATTTCAGACATTCGAATTTGTATTTGATGCAAGAAAAGAAAAGCATAAAATATTTGATGTATAAATAATATTTTAAAATCACATTCAACTCGAAAATTTGTAAAATTATTGACTTAACTAGTAAGCTAAAATCTCTTTTTCAGAAGGTAAAAATTTCTGGCTTCTGTTTTAAGTTCATGCACAAATAGAGTATAAAGCAGCAGTCTGAATAGGAGTTATATGTTTTCAAAACCCACAACAGTTTAGTTGATTTAGTACCTTAACCATTTGCATTGTTGTACTGCTTGGCACCCACGTACATTAAATACTGATATCCTACGTTTCTAGCCGACTCTAGCCCGCAATTTGCAATCTGTTGGCCTTGCGGTCAAGGGTGCATGCCATATATTATAGGGGTATTGCCGCAAAACCCTTTTTTTGCCAACAGCTTTTGGCACTTATCCGTTTCACTCGCCAATCCATTTGTTCATAATTTGCGGTTGGCAATACCAGCAGCTGGAGGGCAGCACTTGTTGGCTGAAAATGAAAAGGATCAGAGGATCGACACCGGCTGCAGTCTGTGAATGTGATTTGAGGGTTTAGATTTAGTTGCGATTGCATGCAGTCAGTGCCACTGGGTATTTTGCATTGCGGTTTTTCTGGGCCAAGCCAGTTGGCTGATAGTTTCTCCGGTCTCGACTTTTGCAATGGGCCGCCGTGTGGTTTCTCGAATCGGTCGTGGCCCAAAACGAATTTCGTGCCAATCACGCTAATATCTATGTCACTGGAGCGTTGCTAAGCCGGTGGCCCGGTGGCCTCCGCGAACAATGGCCAATTGGTTCAAAGCCCTATGCCCAATGCCCAGAAGTGGCCTCCGAAAAAGATGTCGGCGGCCAATTAGAGATCGGGCCCAGAACACCAATGACTTTGACTTACTTTCTCCGTATTCCTTCCATTCCATGCCACTTCGCTTCAAGCTCTTCTTTTGCGAACAATGACAGATTCTGCGACGATTCCAATTTCCAGCATTTTTTATTTGGCAAATTCATAGTCACGCCGGCATTTTCGCTCTAAGCGGCTTAAGTTGTCGACGCAGTGGGCAACGGACGACTTTAATTAACAGCCCATCAAGATGAAGTTGTTCAGCATTAATTACATCTCACCAGCTGCCTCGTCTGCCTGTCGGCTTCTTTCCTCCCCCATCAAATTAAGTGGCGGTCCAGCTTGCAAACTACTTATCCATATAACTAAAAACAGGGAAAACAAACAACTTAGGCAACAAACTTGTTTTTTGATTTTTTTTTTTGATTTCGTACGAAGGTTTGCGGAAGATTACATTTAAATTATTGGGATTTTAACTAAAATAAAAGTCGATAAGGACTTGCAATTACCTAATGCCTTAAATTACCTTACCTTAAAAGGCAAGGTAAATAAAATAATACCATACACTAAAAAACAATTGAATAATTTTCATCAATTTATTTCAGGCTATATAATTCTTCTGTTAAAAGCGTAACTATTCAAAACCAATCATAAGTATTTTAAATGAAAACATAATTCTTTTATTTATCTTTATATAATTCTAATTATTAAGATATCTGATAACTTCTGGTATAAGTTATAAGTCTTATTCATCATTTTTAAATTTAAGATTTTTTTACCCTGACAGTCAATATTTTCATTCATATAAACAAACTGGTTGTGATTCTGTTTGACTAAAAGATTATTTATTTAATTAAAATTTGTCTACTGAATATAAAAAATATTTTGTTATTAGGTTAGTAAAAACATTTCATATATATATTTTTCCCGTTCAGGACACATACTTCAAGAACACCCCTCGCACTCCCCGATCGTTTTATTTACTCGCTTGTCGATGCAGGAATCCCAAAAGTCCGAAAACGATGTGTAAATCGATTCATCGCTTGATGCCGGCGATCGTGGATGCTGATGATGATTTGGTGATTTTCTTTATTATTATTACTGTTTTTAACCAACTTCTTATTACAGCGAGTTTTTAGTTATTTTTTTTTTTTGGTTTGTTTTTTTTCCCCTTCGTGTTTTCTTCGCGGCGCACTCGAGAGGTGTTGAAGACTTGGCGGTGCCAGATAAAAGGCGCTACAAAATTGCTTTCTACCCGCCGCGCCTCCATCATTTGGGAGTGGAAACGAGATGGAGCTAGAGATTCCACACATCAATTCATTTGGCTATGGACTGCGGAATATACATTCGTGTAGTGAAGTGTGTGAGAGGAAAAAACTACCGTTTGGCAATCAAAAAGCCATGGAGTACCAACAGCTGATGATGTTGCCGGCTAGGATGGAAAACAGAAAAAAAGTGGGCTGTAAGGCGTTAATTGCTCATTATTGGGCACACTTCATGTCACACACAAAATGCAGACGCAGAAATTTATCCGCTGATTGAGTTGTCCAAGCCGACGATGATGATCAAAATGATGACGATGACGCACTCCTCCAGTTACCTTTTTTTTTTTCTGAAACTTTGTTCCACCTCCACTACCGCCCGCCTTTAACACTTCGTCTGCCTCTTGTTGAAGTACTAAATTACATAGTTTTTCAAGTGGAAAAACTCAAGAAATTAAGTTTAGGCTGCTGTAGCTGTTGATGTTGCTGCTGCCTTTGTTAATTGTAGGTTTTGGATCTGCTGCTGCCGTTGGAGCAATCGCTCATGATATTTCTGCACTTGGAATTAAAGTAACCTTAAATATATAACACTAACGGGAATAAAATTTAAAGTCTTGCTTTAACAAATCAAATGCAATATAAGCAGAATGAATTTTAGATAAAATATATATAAAATAAAATTTAGTTTAAAATTGTCTTTGAAATGTAAAGAAAAGAAGAACAATTTTATATTCATGTTTAGGTGAAGTTATTAGGACAATATATATATTTTTTAAATTCGTAGCTGTTAATAGTGATCCTTCAATTAAATGATTTGTGCTTTTGATTTACAAAATATTTAATGGTAATAAATACATTTTATTGTATAAATTTGGTTTTAAATAAAATAAATTGGTTTTTGTTGGTAAAGTGGTTTTTTTTTTAATGTGTTGTATTTATTTTTTGCGAAATATTTCTAGGACTTTGAAAATAAGTTCCAAATTGATCTTATTGTCTAAAATTGTTAATGGATTTTTTTTTGTCTACAATCAAATTAAAACCATTCAGAATTCTTTAACATTGTCCTGGGCCTATGCCAATTTATTTTGTAAAAATGTTAGACGGATCTTTTGGGAGCTTACTCTTAGCTCCATGGGTGATGTAACCACACAAGTCCAAGAACTTTTTCCGAGTGTACTGCGGTTGCATTTGGCTGGACGACAGCTCACGTCCGGGACTAGTCCGATGGATGGATAGATGGATGGATGGTCCACTGACCATGCGCAGCTGCGTTTGCGGCGGCGAAAAATCTAAGCCCCCGGACTTGAGTTTGACTTTAATTGCTCTTGACAGTCATCACTGTCAGCGGCGGCCACAGCGCCCCCCACCATCGTAATCATCGCAATCATCAGCACTAACATCAGCCATCGTCATCATCATCGGCTCATGTGCTCATGTGCTCCGTGGTAACATGGCATCGTGGCAACACAGTGGTTGCCGTTTGCCAATCTCGCTGCCCCAATCAACATGCGCTTGTCAAACCAGACTGGGTCCGTATTTTCTGGTTGGGTTAGACCAACCGACTGGGACTGGGACTGGTACTCGCACTGGTAGTGGGTCTTGGCCTGGTCTTCTTGCCTAATATGGCCGCCATTTTGCAGAGTCATTTGCGTTAATGGCGGCTCCGTCTTTGCCGACTTGGCTCTGAGTTTTCGGCTTTTGGGCCTGAGCAGGCGCTATCCCATGCATACCGTATAATTAAATGAAAATTTAGAAATTAACATTTTATGAATGTGATCAGCAGCTAGCAAAATTTCATTACGCTCAAAAAAAAACATAGAATTTGTGTTAAGTAGGGA